TCGCTGTTTGGCCTCTGTGTGTCTCTCTGGTACATGGTCACTTTCAGTTCACCCTCCACGAGGGCGTCCTGTTGGGAAGTCCTGGAGCCAGATTCATGAAAGGACTTACGCAAGCACTTACGAACCTGAACATCTTTTCTCAATCTTTGGCGGCTTTGTTTACAATTATTAAACAGTTAATGAGCTCCGAAGCACCAGGAGGCTGTTTATAACAATAACATCAGTTGATTGGCAAGTTTTCATGCTTGTAAACTGTTTAATAAATGTAACCAAAGCCGTCAAAGATTGAGGAAAGATGTACACGTTCGTAAGTATTTGCGTAAGTGCTTTCGTGAATCTGGCCCCTAGCTCTTCCAGGACACTCTCCCAGGGCACGTCCTTACGTAGGGAAGTCCTGGCCCTTCCAGGACACTCTCCCAGGGCACGTCCTTACGTAGGGAAGTCCTGGATCTTCCAGGACACTCTCCCAGGGCACGTCCTTACGTAGGGAAGTCCTGGCCCTTCCAGGACACTCTCCCAGGGCACGTCCTTACGTAGGGAAGTCCTGGATCTTCCAGGACACTCTCCCAGGGCACGTCCTTACGTAGGGAAGTCCTGGCTCTTCCAGGACACTCTCCCAGGGCACGTCCTTACGTAGGAAAGTCCTGGACTCTCTATAGACCCATATCTCCATCTGATTTCCCACTTCAGTTGAGCAATAGAGCCTAACGCAGACTTAGTGACCGCCGACACGTCGTACCTCCACTGCGTGGTGTGTGGGTGTGTGTTTACTATTTATATTTACTATACTATTTATGCCTGCAGGATCGAGCTGTTAGCTCTTGGACCCCGCCTTTCTAACCGTCGGTGTATATTGTACTGATGCCCGACCTATTTTCCTCTCATATCTATTACAACATTTCTTTCTAAAACACACACACACACACACACACACACGCACACACACACACGCACACAACCATAACTCTAACCATTCATAATGCCAATAATACATATGGATTACCATTGCGTGGAGCAGATTTTGAATATCTACATTTATACAATTATGCAGAATCCTTCGTATTGTCAGTTCTCCCGCTACAGTGGCAGTGATGGTGAAGTCGCTCTTTGGTAAATACAGGCTATGGTGATGGTGCTGATGGTGGTGTTGTTAGGGGTGGTGGTTGTGGTGGTACTCTTATGGGTGGTGGTCGTGTAAGTGGCGGTCCTAATGGTGATTCTCTCAATTTCAAGAGTCTAGTCCACCTTATCTATCCATCTAAGTATCTTATATGTTGCGATCATATCTCCACGGTTTCTCCTGTCCTCTAGGGTTCTGAGATTTAGTTTCATAAACCTATTCTTATAGCTTAACCCTCTTAACTCTGGACCCATTTTGTTGCTAGCATTTGTACTTTTAAGTTTGGGCGTAATGATTTACAAGGTGCGGGTTCCAAGCCGGCGCTGCATATTCCAGTATTGGTCTGACAAATGTTGTGTAGATTGCTTGAAGGAGTCCTGATTTAAGTTTCAAAATGATATTGTTATATTTCCCAGTGTCCTTTATGCTGCTGATGTTATCCTGTTTATGTGTGCCTCAGGTGGTAGAGGTGGAATTATATTCACTCCTAAATCTTTCTCTCTTTCCGATTCCTGTGGTTGTTTTCCCCTTATGATGTACGTACCTTATGGTCTCCTCTCTCTCTCTTTCTCCATCTTCATCACCTTCACTCGTTGTGATTGTATTCCGGCAACCACTTCACCACTTCTGGAGTTTGTTAAGGCCCTGTAACTTCCTACAATCCTCCTCTATTTTCACATTACTGATCAGCTTCATGTCCTCTACTACCATTGGCAGCATGAGCTCGTTCTCTCGGGTAGGTCGCCCACATACATTAATTAATTAATTAGGAACTGCAGTGATCCCTGCATCAAGCCTTGGAGAACCCCACTTGATACATTCCTCCAGCTTGAAGCGGGTTTTCTTCCTATTGGGGAGTGTTGTACATGCTACTATGGCGGTGTGTCCACTCACAAGATGATAGGCGCTGCCCAATAAACTCGCCCCTCGGGGCAAAATTAAAAAAATTAAAAATCCTTCTCTCTGACTGTGACTCTTTGTTTTCTGTTCTTCAGGTACTCCCTTACCCATTTTCAAGAGGAAACTAGATTTATTCCTCCAAGGAGTGCCGGACCAACCTGGCTGTGGTGGGTATGTGGGCCTGCGGGCCGCTCCAAGCAACAGCCTGGTGGACCAAACTCTCACAAGTCAAGCCTGGCCGCGGGCCGGGCTTGGGGAGTAGAAGAACTCCCAGAACCCCATCAACCAGGTATCAACCAGGTATCAATCAGGTTACCCATTTCAGTGTTTTCCCAGTTATCCCGGTCTGCTCCTCCACCTTGTACAACAGTCTAACGGTGTCAAATGCTTTTTGACAATCTTGAAAAATAGTCTCCTCAGACTTCCTTTTCCAGTCTTATTTTTAGTAACCTTTTCATAAAAGTAAATGAAGTTTATCAGGCACGACTTTCCATCTGTAAATCCATGCTGATTTTTGTTGTCACAAAGTCGATCCTGTCAAGATGCTCCGCCATTCTGGACTTGATTACTTTCTCCAAGTGCTCAAAGTACTTTACAAGGAATACTTGTCAATGGCACTGATCTGTAGTATTGTGTCTACTTTCTATCCTCTTATTTTTAATACTGGGACTACATTTGCCCATTCCAGACATCTGAGGGGTTCCTGTCTCAAGCCTTTTATTAAGAATTTTAGACAAAAGGTGACAAAAGTATTTCTGCAGCGTCCTTCAGCAGCCATGGTGAGTTTAGGTTTGGTTCCATTGCTTTAGTCACGTCTAGTTCCCACCAGGATTTTTTTTTTCACCTCTTCCACAGCAATTACAATGTCATCCTAATTCCCCCCCCCACCCACCCCGGCCTTTCATCTTGTATCTTGGTGTCCCCGCTGGTTGAAATGTAAACACCTGAAATCTATCGTTGAGTTCCTCACATACCTCACTGTCATTTTCTGTGAGCGCTCTCCCTCGTTTCCTCAATCTGAGTACATGGTGGTGGGAGTGGTGGTGGGAGTGGTGGTGGTGGCAGTGGTGATGTTAGCAGTGGTGGTGGTGGCAACGGTGATGGTGGTGGTTGCAGTGATGGTGGTAGTGGTGGTGGCCGGGTGTCCTGTGCTGGTGATCAATACGGCCCTGTTCTTTCTAATATACTTATGCGACCACAGGTGCCTCGCGCAATTGTCCCGTCCTCCCTCTCTGTCTCTGTCTGTCTGTCTCTCTCCCTCTCCCCCAGCCACCAATAATCCTAGTGTGTCGCCATCGCCGGGTCCTCACACCTGTATTTACCCTGGTGACGTATCTAGCGTTATCTTGAGTGACAAGCGTCTAAGGTTTCGTGGCGTCCCACTTCACATTAGTGCTCTATTGACTATGGGGAGGCGCCAACCTCCTCCCTCACGGCTCCTCCAATAATTATAAATGTCTTGGCTGACGAGAGGACATAAACCTAACTTCAATTAATGTGAAAAGGATATTGGACGTACAACAATTACACACACTCACACAGTACTATATTATATATATATATATATATATATATATATATATATATATATATATATATATATATATATATATATATATATATATACATATATATATATATATATATATATATATATATATATATATATATATATATATATATATATATATTGTATTTTGTCATTTTATTTTATTTAAAACTTCATTACACAAAAAGGTTTACAACATTGGTTACATGTAAGGTACAAGGCTACTTGTCACAGGTTGTCGAGTTCCTCCAGCTCCTCAGATGGCGGGCAGGAACCATGGATGCAGTGAGCATTTCCTCTCTGGATCGCCACACTAAGGCGCTGAAAGAGGAAACTGGCGGCTCTAGGGTCTCTAGTTGTTTCAATTACCTTAGAACCCGGCTCCTTCACAAAACTTGTGGCACTTTTACCCCCAGGCACCAAGTGTCTCAAAGGCCTGACCTGACGAGAGCCGGTCGGCCGAGCGGACAGCACGCTGGACTTGTGATCCTGTGGTCCTGGGTTCGATCCCAGGCGCCGGCGAGAAACATTGGGCAGAGTTTCTTTCACCCTATGCCCCTGCTACCTAGCAGTAAAATAGGTACCTGGGTGTTAGTCAGCTGTCATGGGCTGCTTCCTGGTGGTGGAGGTCTGGTCGAGGATCGGGCCGCGGGGACACTAAAGCTCCGAAATCATCTCAAGATAACCTCAAGATAGGAGCCTGACAGGTGAGTGGACAGCGCTTCGGATTCATAGTCCTGAGGTTCCACGTTCGATCCCCGGCGGAGGATCTGGTGATGAGGTAAAGTGCATCATTAGCATCAATGTCTTCAATCCTCTCATCCATCCTCTTCAGGTCAGTGATCTTCTTACTATGGACCTCGTCGATGGCCTTCCCTCCAAGAGGAGCACCTAGGAGTGTGCTGTCCTCAGGGTTGGTTATATGGATATTAGGCAAAACAACCTTTATTGGTTCTATTATGTGCTGGTTGATGGAGGTTATTTCGCACTTGGAAGAGTTCAGGGTGAGGCCTAGACTTGCTCCTTGCTTCTGAATTATTCTTATATCTCCCAGGAGGGAGTCTGGGATTAAGCCGGCTAGAGTACCATCAGAGTAGAGTAGACTCTGTTTGAGTAGAGTTTGATCAGAATAGAGTTTGATCTACTTTACTCTATTTGATCAGAGTAGAGTAGAGTTTGGTTTTTGGGCTCTTCTAGAGTAAAGTCCAAAAACCAAATATTGAGCTCACTGGACAGGTTATCAGTGACTTCCTTGATGACTAAGCAGGAAAAAAAAGGAGCAAGGGGATCACCCTGTTGGACACCTTGTGATTCAATCCCATTTTCCCGGAATAGCAGAGTTAGGTCCTTGCTGTAACAAGAGTGTACAAACGGGTAGAGGGAAGGAAAAAGGCGATGAACCGCACTGAGTACTGCATCCCTTCTCACCAGATTGAAAGCCTTTTTGAAATCCAGTTTTATCAGCGCTTTTTCTGCTGTAATGTTGTCAATGTTGGCTCTAGCTGCATCAGCCGCTGCCTCACGCTCTTGGGGGAATGCCAGACCCAAGCTGTTTTGTCTTCAGCATGTCTGCTGCTGCTCAGGGTGAGTGTTTTACCACTGCACCACGCGGACTGCATCTTGTACAATGTAATCATATGTCTTCTGACCCCCTTATTTCATCTGGTGTAGTACATGCATGTTTGTGCATGAGGCACACCATGTTACTGTTGACAGTTGACCATGCACCGAGCTGTGAGGAGTAAAGCTAGCGACGACCACCAGGCACTGACCCGGCACCACTACTGCTGGACGACCACCTGGCACAGGGACCACCTGCGGCCAGTCGTCCACTCCTCGACAGTTTAGACGCCACTCCGTCACAAAGGTCATTCCAGGCACCGCGTAATCACAACATGTGGAATCCTTTTCTAAGCTGGCCGAGTATGCCGGACGACTCAAACAGAAAACGGAACAGTACGTCACTTTTGTGAGTCGATTTCATTTTAAATTACGTCCAAATGTGGCCATAGTGCGCATACGAGCCAAAGTGACGTTATTTTAAGAGGACGGGTTGGTTACATACACCCAAACCATCGACATACACAGGAGCAACTGCAAGCCTCCACCACCACCTCGAAGTATAACGAAGACCCCCAATATACCTGAATATACTCAGAATACCTGAGCTGCGTCATACCACGTTAACCTCCCAAATACAAAGACATTAAAAATCAAAGTATTCCTCCTTCTCCTCTCTGAATATCTAACATTAGCCCCAACAAAACTGACAATTTTCCACTTTTGTCAATCCACGAACACTTTAAACCTAGCACAAAAACTGGGGGAAAAAAAATGCATTTGGGTTTGAGTGTCTCGGCAGTACACACACACACACACACACACACACACACACACACACACACACACACAGACACCACACACACAGACAGACAGACAGACAGACAGACACACACACACACACACACACACACACACACACACACACACACACACACACACACACACACACACACACACACACACACACACACACACACATATGAGCTGCGGGACTCCCCCCAGCAGGTGAAGACGACAGGCTACACACAACGACTCGTCCAGAGCAACGACTCGTCCAGATCAACACTCGTCCAGATCAACGTCTCGTCCAGAGCAACGACTCGTCCAGAGCAACGACTCGTCCAGATCAACGACTCGTCCAGAGCAACGACTCGTCCAGAGCAACGACTCGTCCAGAGCAACGACTCGTCCAGATCAACGACTCGTCCAGATCAACGTCTCGTCCAGATCAACGTCTCGTCCAGAGCAACGACTCGTCCAGAGCAACGACTCGTCCAGAGCAACGACTCGTCCAGAGCAACGACTCGTCCAGATCAACGACTCGTCCAGATCAACGTCTCGTCCAGATCAACGACTCGTCCAGATCAACGACTCGTCCAGATCAACGACTCGTCCAGATCAACGACTCGTCCAGATCAACGACTCGTCCAGATCAACGTCTCGTCCAGATCAACGACTCGTCCAGATCAACGACTCGTCCAGATCAACGTCTCGTCCAGATCAACGACTCGTCCAGATCAACGACTCGTCCAGATCAACGACTCGTCCAGATCAACGACTCGTCCAGATCAACACTCGTCCAGATCAACACTCGTCCAGATCAACACTCGTCCAGATCAACACTCGTCCAGATCAACACTCGTCCAGATCAACACTCGTCCAGATCAACACTCGTCCAGATCAACACTCGTCCAGATCAACGTCTCGTCCAGATCAACGACTCGTCCAGATCAACGACTCGTCCAGAGCAACACTCGTCCAGATCAACGTCTCGTCCAGATCAACGACTCGTCCAGATCAACGACCGTCGATCCACTCGTCCAGATCAACACTCGTCCAGATCAACACTCGTCCAGATCAACACTCGTCCAGATCAACACTCGTCCACTCGTCCAGATCAACGACTCGTCCAGATCAACACTCGTCCAGATCAACAGATCAACGACTCGTCCAGATCAACACTCGTCCAGATCAACACTCGTCCAGATCAACGACTCGTCCAGATCAACGACTCGTCCAGATCAACACTCGTCCAGATCACGACTCGTCCAGATCAACGACTCGTCCAGATCAACACTCGTCCAGATCAACGACTCGTCCATCAACACTCGATCAACACTCGTCCAGATCAACGAGATCGTCCAGATCAACGACTCGTCCAGATCAACACTCGTCCAGATCAACACTCGTCCAGATCAACACTCGTCCAGATCAACACTCGTCCAGATCAACACTCGTCCAGATCAACGACTCGTCCAGATCAACGACTCGTCCAGATCAACACTCGTCCAGATCAACACTCGTCCAGATCAACACTCGTCCAGATCAACACTCGTCCAGATCAACGACTCGTCCAGATCAACACTCGTCCAGATCAACACTCGTCCAGATCAACGACTCGTCCAGATCAACGACTCGTCCAGATCAACACTCGTCCAGATCAACACTCGTCCAGATCAACACTCGTCCAGATCAACACTCGTCCAGATCAACTCGTCCACTCGTCCAGATCAACGACTCGTCCAGATCAACACTCGTCCAACGATCGTCAACAACGACTCGTCCAGATCAACACTCGTCCAGATCAACACTCGTCCAGATCAACGACTCGTCCAGATCAACACTCGTCCAGATCAACACTCGTCCAGATCAACACGACTCGTCCAGATCAACGACTCGTCCAGATCAACACTCGTCCAGATCAACACTCGTCCAGATCAACACTCGTCCAGATCAACACTCGTCCAGATCAACGACTCGTCCAGATCAACACTCGTCCAGATCAGACAACGACTCGTCCAGATCAACGACTCGTCCAGATCAACGACTCGTCCAGATCAACGTCTCGTCCAGATCAACGACTCGTCCAGATCACACTCGTCCACAACACTCGTCCAGATCTCGTCCAGATCAACGACTCGTCCAGATCAACACAACGTCGTCCAGATCAACGACTCGTCCAGATCAGATCGAGATCTCGTCCAGATCAACACTCGTCCAGATCGTCCAGATCAACGTCCAGATCAACGACTCGTCCCGATCAACGACTCGTCCAGACAACGACTCGTCCAGATCAACGACTCGTCCAGATCAACGACTCGTCCAGATCAACGTCTCGTCCAGATCAACGACTCGTCCAGATCAACACTCGTCCAGATCAACACTCGTCCAGATCAACGACTCGTCCAGATCAACGACTCGTCCAGATCAACACTCGTCCAGATCAACACTCGTCCAGATCAACGACTCGTCCAGATCAACGACTCGTCCAGATCAACACTCGTCCAGATCAACACTCGTCCAGATCAACGACTCGTCCAGATCAACGTCTCGTCCAGATCAACGTCTCGTCCAGAGCAACGACTCGTCCAGATCAACGACTCGTCCAGATCAACGACTCGTCCAGATCAACGTCTCGTCCAGATCAACGACTCGTCCAGATCAACACTCGTCCAGATCAACACTCGTCCAGATCAACACTCGTCCAGATCAACGACTCGTCCAGATCAACGCTCGTCCAGATCAACGACTCGTCCAGAGCAACGACTCGTCCAGATCAACACTCGTCCAGATCAACGACTCGTCCAGATCAACGTCTCGTCCAGATCAACGACTCGTCCAGATCAACACTCGTCCAGATCAAACACTCGTCCAGATCACACTCGTCACAACAACTCACTCGTCCAGATCAACGACTCGTCCAGATCAGATCAACGTCTCGTCCAGATCAACGACTCGTCCAGATCAACGACTCGTCCAGATCAAACGACTCGTCCAGATCAACGACTCGTCCAGATCAACGACTCGTCCAGATCAACACTCGTCCAGATCAACGACTCGTCCAGAGCAACGACTCGTCCAGATCAACACTCGTCCAGATCAACACTCGTCCAGATCAACGACTCGTCCAGATCAACACTCGTCCAGATCAACACTCGTCCAGATCAACGACTCGTCCAGATCAACGACTCGTCCAGA